CTAAGAGGGGCACATCCACCAACACCCTAGCTGTGCACTGTCTCTCTTTTTTTACACTCCCAGATTCACCAGTGCATCTCTGAGGGACAACTACCCATTCAGCCAATCAAGTGTATACAAAACACAGAAGTATGAGTGATCTCACACTCCCAGAACAACAATGGGTCGCACCATTTATACTACATGGCAGGACCCCAGAAGGACTGAGCCCTCTCCCCACCTGTTTCACTCCCCCAAGACAGTCATTCTACTTCCTTGGGACCATGCCTCAGGCCTATGCCACATGTTATACTTTTTCATGGACTCATGATAATCTTAGTAGATAAGACGTAAGGCCAGAACTAAACTAACTGAGGCAATACAAAGAAAAAGGTCCATGGATGTGCTGCATTGAAAATGCAAAACTGAGGCCCTGGCGCAATGGCGCAGTGGTTAAGGTCCTCGCCTTGAACGCCCCGGGATCCCATATGGGATTGCCAGTTCTGATCCTGGTAGCCTCGCTTCCCATCCAGCTCCCTGCTTGTGACCCGGGAAAGCAGTCGAGGACGGCCCAAAGCTTTGGGACCCTGCACACCTGCGTGGGAGACCTGGAAGAGGCTCCTGGCTTCGGATCGACATAGCATCGGCCGTTGCGCTCACTTGGGGAGTGAATCATCGGACAGAGGATCTTCCTCTCTGTCTCTCCTCTCTGTATATCCGCCTTTCAATAAAAATAAATCTTAAAAAAAAAAAAAGAAAAAGAAAACGCAAAACTGCACACAAAAATATCCCATGTCAACTTGGCCCTTCCATTCCAGAGTCCCTTAAGCTAAAAGACATCAGCAGGAACTAAGCAGAGTTGATATTCATGCCCTGGATCCAAGCGGCAGGATGCAGAGTATGACGTGTAGAGGCCAAGGCAAGTCAAAGCAAGCATGCATGAGTGGGTCACCAAGGGATTATCAAGGGCATCAGAGGAATAGGAGGAATCCCATGATGGAGACACAGGCCCAGTAGGTTGAGGAAACATCCATGAAAATAAGTGACCCAAAATGGGGTATTAGCATCTGAATAGGATTGACTGGGTATCTGTCCCTGGTTGTGGGAGAACAACTCCAAGGACAACATTGGTGCCAAAAGATGGGCCATATACAAGGTCTTGGTCTAATAACTCGATGTATTGTACACAGTGGGATGGGAGCCAGATTTCTCACTGTCCCATAAGACAATGATGGTAAAGGGAAGGCTGGAAGCCAACACAGACTTTGTGGTCTGTCCCCTTCAAAACTATGTTGAAATTTGACTGCCATCATGGCTGTGTTGGGAGGCAGCCCCTTTAAGAAGTGATTAGCTCCTAATTATCATTCCCCACCAAAAAGAAGCAGGGATCCCGAGAGAAATAGCCAACTCTTTCTTTTGCTAAAGACTGAAAAGGTGCTCAATGGGAGAAAGAAATCAAAATGATACAGAAGTCCACCTGGAGAGGTATCCACTTGCCAATTGGAAGAGAACATGAGCCTTGAAATAAATGACATTAACAGATTATAATTTATTCTGTCAAATAGAAATTCTTGAGTTAATAAAGTACCTGAATGAATAAATTGAACTTTGAAGAGGAACAACATATTTACTCAATCTCAAATTACCTCTCAAAAATATTAATTATCAAGGAATATAACAACAGTGGAGAAGCCTGGCAAAAGCTGCCTCCATCACTCATCAAAGCTTCGCTCTCCAGTAAGGAGTTAGAATCACAGGAGTCTTGCCAGTATGCAATGAGAAAAACTCAGCATCATTTCCAATATTCCAACCAAATACGATCATCATAGTAAGTCATGAAAAAATGTCCAAAAACTAGCCAACAGGTGCCAGGTGAAGATACATAACAGCTCAATGCAACACAGGATTCTTTAAAACAATAATAATGAAAATACATATATATTTATTTGTTTGGAAGCCAGAGTTAGAGTGTTAGGGGGAGAGGGAGAAAGAAAGAATTTTCCATCCGCTGGTTGATTCTCGAAATGGCCACAATAGCTGGAGCTGGGCAGCTCCAAAGCCAGGAGCCTGGAGATTCTTTCTGGTCTCCAATATGGGTTCAAGGGCTCAGGACCATCCTCTGTTGCTCTCCCAAGCACATTAGCAGGGAGCTGGATCAGAAGCAAAGCAGCCAAGACTTGAACCACTGCCCATATGAGATGCCAGCACTGCTTTTACCAACATACCATAACACCAACCCTGCAACACAGGATTCTGGTTTTCTGGTTTTTTGGGGTTTTTTTGCTTTTTTAAGGTAGATTTACAGAGAGAAGGAGAGACAGAGAGAAAGATTTTCCTTCCACTGGTTCATTCTCCAAATGCCCTCAACAGGCAGAGTTGAACCAATCTGAAGCCAGGAACCAGGAGATTCTTCTGGTTCTCCCATGTGAGTTCTCCCAAGGTTTTGGGCCATCCTCAACTGCTTTCCCAGGCCACAAACATTGAGCTGAATGGGAAGTGGGGCAGCCAGGACACGAACTGGTGCCCATATGGGATGCTGGTACTTGTAAGGCAAGGATTTAGCCACTGGGCTATCGCACCAGGCCCACAACACAGGACTCTGAACTACATCTTTCTGCAATGAAGGACCTTGTTGGAACAACTGGCTGAAGGGGACTAGTACCTCAAGAATGGATGGCACTCCTGTACGGCTCAGCTTCATGGCGCTGATTGGCTTTGTGGCTGCATGGGAGATGGCCGCTTGCTGGAAGGAAATGTGCACTGCAGGCTCTAGGAGATGACAGGCACCAGGCCAGCAGCTCCCCCTCAGCGGAGCTGGGGAGACGCACGCTCTGTGAACTGTGCTTGCAACCTCTCCAAAAGCTTGAGATTAATTCAACGTCATAGTAAAAGAATACATAAAAATGCAAGAGACAAGATGGATAAAGTACAAACACACTCTAGAAAAAGAATTACATCCTCAATGCATAAACAACCCATCAAATTGTATCAAAAACATATGGCTACCCAGACAGCGGGGGGGGGGGGGGTGTGGAGCTGGGGAGAGTGACAAAAGGTAAAGCCAAAAGACGAATAAGGTTAACCTTCTCTTCAAACCAAAGAAAGGCAAATGAAGATGAGGCGCCACAATTGTTGAACCTTCCATTTGCAAAATGTATCTTTAAATAATAGCATCTCATCTTGCCAAACGTGTGAGGAGAAAAACACTTTTATTTTTTGCCAGTGGAAATATGAATCCGTGTTTTCACTCTAGATGACGATTCAGAAATTTACATCAAAAGCCCCAAATTTTTGCAAACCCATTACCCCAGTAAGCTTATTTCCAGAAACATCTCCTTAGGAAGTGGCCATGAATGTCCGTAAATATTTATTGCACAGCAGCTTGTAGAGAGAAACAATTTAATTTCCCAACAATGAATGATCAGATAAATTAACCCCAGTACACGCAAACAATAGGATGCTATGGCAACCACTAAAAATTATTTAATCAAATATTACTTAATGACAGCTGTGCATATACATGTAGCTGCAGTCTCATCAATATTCAAATCCTGGCAGCTGTGGGTTCCCACCTGCCAGTGCAGTGTTAGTTAGCTCCTCCCCGTCAAATCACCCCAGTGGTTGGCTGGTGGGTACCTCGGGACCAAATTGGGCCACCTCTCTTATGGAGCCCTTCAGAGATTGCTTCCTGGCACCTACTCACTCAGTTCTAGCCCTAACCTGCACCTGTGGATGCGCTGGAACCCAAAGTGGCACCCCTAAAACTTGACCCCTGACTTTCAGGCAGTGTGGGCTCTTCCCACTGCCTGGTGGACTTTGCTCTACTCTCCTTCCTGTGCAGGTCTTTGTAGTTGGCCAGGAATGTGCACATCCCTCGGCAGCAGCCTTGCATGTCTCTTACTTTCCCATCGATCAACTCAGGTCCTATGTATGCCTCTAAGACAGGTCCTTATCATTCAGCGTTGTACTCCTGGGATTACCCACGTCCAGATGTAGTACATGCGTGTCCTGTGGCAGGATCAGCACACTTGGCTATGATGGGCATTGGCGCTGTGTCCTTTATCTGACAGCTCTCAGCAAAGCTGCACTCACATACACCATGCATGATGCCCAGAGCGCATACCCAGAGGCTGGATGTGTGAGGTCCTGCTCCAAGGGATGCACTTGCCAGGCACAGGAGGGGAGCCTCTCAGCCTTGCAGAGGACACCTCCCTGCTTCCCTGATGCACCTGACAGACAATGACTTCTGAATCTCATCAATAAAACCTTCTGAGTTAAAGGTGTGTAATTGACACCCCAGCCTGGTGGGCCATGGGACTCCCTTAAGCTCAGTTTTTGCTTAAAGTTTTGCGCAACTATCTTGGGCCAGCACAACGGCATATCAGACTAATTCTCTGCCCTGTGGCACTGGCAACCCACATGGGCACCAGTTTGTGTTCCAGCTGCCCCACTTCCCATCCAGTTCTCTGCTCATAACCTGGGAGAGCAGCAGAAGTTGGCCCATGACCTTGAATCTCTGTATCTACATGGGAATCCCAGAAGAAGCTCCTGGATCCCAGCTTTGGATCATCTCAGATTTAGCTATTGCTAAATTTGAGGAGTGAACCAGCAGATGAAAGACCTTCTCTTTTTCTTTCTCTGTAAAATTTGTCTTTCAAATGAAAATAAACAATCTTTTTTTTTTTAAGTATGCAGCTGTCTTGGAAACCAGAAACCCTGCCTCTGCAGTGTCAGCAAGTTCATAGCACTGGGTACCCATTTAGCACAAAGTCCACCTGTTCACACCAGAGCTGTCATGTTGGAGCCGGAGCTTCCTTGCTCTATCCTTACTCTGCTCTCTGCTCTTGGCTGCCATCTGCAGGACCCTGGGCACTATGAAAATGATCCAAGGACACTGGCTGAAAACTGACCATGTCCACTAGCCAGCTCCCCAATACACATGTCCCTTAGTAAACCATCAGCTCAAGAAAGGGGATTCTGTTAGTCCCACTCATTAGATGAGGAAACAAGAGCTCAGGAAAGTGCTCGCTTCAGCAACATATATACTAAAATTGGAACAATACAGAGAAATTAGCATGACCCCTGCACAAGAAGGACACTCAAATTCGTGAAGTGTACCATATTAAAAAAAAAAAAAAAACTCAAGAAAGAGGCTCACAAAATCCCCAGAGCATAGAAGAAGTCAGTTCCATGAGTCATGTACACCATGTAATGGTTTTACTGCATTCAATCTTTTACATCATCCCCCCAGTTCCTCTGGCACTGCTGTTCAAGACCTGCAGGGCCCATCAGACCCTCACAGGGTCCACAGATTCTTGGCTTGTATTAGCAGTGCAAGTTTCTAGTGCTGACATTTTCTTAGTTTAAAACAAAATACAGAACATGCCAAGTTTATGGTGTGATAGTCAACAAACACACTATAGTGGAAGAAATAAAGAGAGAGAAGGTGGTGTTGGCAGGGGAGCTGGCCATGATGATAGCTCATAAGATAAGGATAACAATAATAATACTTATGAGGTTTTTTGTAAAAGTATTTATTTTTATTAGAAAGGCATATTTACAGAGAGAAAGAAAAAGATTTTTCATCTGCTGGTTCAATCCCCAAATGGCTGCAATAACCAGAGCTGAGCAGATCCGAAGCCAAGAGTCAGAAGCCTCCTCCTAGTTTCCCATATGGGTACAGGGTCCCAAGGCTTTGGGTCATTCTCCACTGCTTTTCCAGGCCACACGCAGGGAGCTAGAATGGAGATAGAGCAGCTGGGACATGAACCAATGCCCAAAGGGATACTGGCAGTTGCATCCCATCAGTTGCATGCCCATCAAACCACAGCATCAGTACACAATACTTATGGTCTTAATGGAGATAGCAACAGTGGCCACTGTGGTTATGAGGTGAAAAAAATTAGCAAAGCAGAGAGAGTGAGTTTTGGGTTGATGCAAATGGAGATGGTTTAGTGGAGTTGGCAATAGCCAGAGGTGATAAGGATGATGGTGATAACAATGGTGATAATTGCTGTGGCTGAGGTCATATTGCCAGGTGGAGGTGCCGGAATCTACTACAACAGTGACAATAGGGCCCGGCGCGGTGGCACAAGTGGTTAAAGGTCCTCGCCTTGCACGCCCGGGATCCCATATGGGCGCCGGTTCTAATCCCGGCAGCCCTGCTTCCCTTCCAGCTCCCTGCCTGTGGCCTGGGAAGGCAGTCGAGGACGGCCCAAAGCTTTGGGAACCTGCACACCTGCGTGGGAGACCCGGAAGAGGCTCCTGGCTCCGGATCGGCATAGTATCGGCCCGTTGTGCTCACTTGGGGAGTGAATCATCGGACAGAGGATCTTCCTCTCTGTCTCTCCTCTCTGTATATCCGCCTTTCCAATAAAAAAATAATAAAAATAAATCTTTAAAAAAAACAGTGACAATAGAATCAGTGATAATGAGGTCATGATAGTGGTGGACATGATTAAGGGTAGGAGCAGAGGTAGTGATGGAGGTGATATGATGTTGATATGCTAATGATGAGAAAGGTTGTGGCATGGTAGGATCAACACATTGGAAGTAGTGGAGGTGATGATGATGGAAGAAAAAATTGCAGTGGTGGCAGAGGTGGCCATGGAAGCAGTAACAATGGGAATGTTGGGATGGAGGAGTTGAGGGTGATGATGGTGATGATGATGATGGCTGTGGCTATGATAGTATCACCACAGCGGAAATAAAGGAAGTGGATATGCTGGTGACGGCGGTGGAAAGAATGGTGGTAATGCTGATGGTTGTGGCCATGACAGAATCACCATGCTGGAAACAGAGTAGGTGACTGTGGTGGGAGCAATGGTGGTAGTGAACATGACGGTACCAATGGTAGCTTTGATGTGGTAGGAGCAGTGTTATAATGGTGTTGTGATGCTGTCGGCAGTGACGACAGAAGCTACCCTACAAGGCAGTGGCAGCCCACTCTGCATCTGCAGGTGCATCCAACAAATGGAGCACCAGGGCTGGAATGAGAGCGCAGCCTGCCATGGGGAGGCCAGCAGCCTGCAAAGGGGAAGAGGAGGGCACAATGAGGACAGCGCAGCACAAGTCAGTCATGCCATATTTCAGTAACAGCGTGTAGCTGCTTGTTAGCAGAGATCTGCTTTCCAACGGCAAATAATAAAATTATGCTTTTTGTGCAGCTAATGAAATGCAAATTGAAGCTGGATGCACATTAATGCAAAGAGTTGAATATCCATTTAATCAGCTCCTCCCTGCAGGGGCCAATGATAAAAATGACAGAGGAATTGCATTGCTAATTCCGGGCCTGTCACATCTTATCCGTCCTTTCCTTGTAAATCCAGTACTTCTGTGGCTGGCACCTGCCCGAAGGACCCAAAGTTTAGCTTAATCTTGGTTCTGGGAGTCTGAGAATCCCTTTGGGGTTGGGGGTGGGAGCTGAGATTGGGCTGAGCTGGGAAACAGGAAGTAGAATAAAGAGATGGGATCTTTCCTGAATTCTCCAAATAAGGTGTCATTACCCCTTCACTCCACCATGGCAGGCTGGACGGCATGATGGTCTGACTGGCTCTTACTCTTCCACTAATAGAAATCAGAAATTGGGAGAATTGCACTCTGGAATACCATGTAAAGCCACTGAGTGCTGTACTGGTATCACATATGGGTGGTAGTTCAAATTCCAGCTATTTATGCTTCCTATCCAGTTCCCTGCTAACGTACTTGGGAAAGCCGCAGAAGATGGTGCAAGTGCTTGAGGCTCTGAATCCATGCCAAAAACCCAGATGAAATCCTTGGTTTCAGTCAGACCCAGCCCCAACTATAGCAGCCATTTGGGAAGTGAACCAGAGGATGGCAGATCTCCAGATCTCTCTTGTGCACACACGCGCATGCTCCCAATCTCGCTCTCTCCTCCACCTCCCTTTTCCTCTCTAGGCTCTGCATTTCAAATAAGTTAATCTTCAAAAAAAGAAAAAGAACTCAGAGATAGGTGGCCTAAGACTAACAGCTAACATAGGGTAGCTGCCTTCTACACAACGTGCTGTGCTGGGTTATTTCCCATCATGTCTGCAATCAGCAACTGTAACTTGGGCACAATCACTCCTGTTTACAGATGAGAATCCTGGACTTCAGCAAGTTTCATACAGCCACGGGCCATGCACAACCAGCCAGAGATGGCACCCAGACAGCAGGACCCCAAAGGCTGCATTCTGCATGGCTCCATTTCCCTAGAGCAACTGTCCCCTGAGTGATAACCCACACTAACCTGGTGCCCGGTTTGCAGCCTGGAGAAGAAGCAGAGAGGAGAAGGGGGTTCTCAGGAGCCAGGCTGAAAGAGCTGGGACAGTCCTGGGGAGTGAAGGCTGGGGCAGAGACTGGAGGTTGTCTCTGGCTCCCAGTCGTGCCTAAACCAGAGACTTTAGGGCAGAGGGAGCAGCCCAGCCCTCCTGGAGGGCATCTGTGCAGAGGTTGAGTTTTCACAGGAGGAGGCTTCAAATATCATGTGAAAGAGAGGACTGAACTTCACAGGTGTGGTAAGCCAGGCACAGGGATCTAGTCAACCCAAGAGAAACTAGTATGGATCTGGAGCCAATGAGTCAGGAATAACAGAAAAGACAATTTTGAGGGGACAGAACTGGGAGCAACAGGTGATGAGCCGAAGGTAAGGGGACACTTGCCACAAAAAGCAAAAAGGTGCCAGGAGCACTTTCTACATGGGGACACAGCAGGTTAGGCCACCACCATGCCAGCAGCCCATAAAGGAGTACCAGTTAGAGTCCAACTGCTCTACTCCTGATCCAGTTTCCACATGGAAGATGCAAATTGAGTTCCAGGTTTCTGGCCCTAGCCATTGTAATAATCTGGGACTTGAACCAGCAGATGGAAGATTCCCTCTTTTCCGTGTGTGTGTGTGCACGCGCTCGCGCGCACGCACGCGTACCTCCTTCCCAAATACATAACAATAGACCTGGGCCCTGTCTCAAGTCCATTGCCAAGGAGCCAGAAGGTGGACAGGGATGGCTGAGGACTACAGAGTACCAGGAGGAGCTGCTATCACCATTTCCACAGCAGACCCATGTGTCTGGCAGTGGGGAGAGGGTAGCAGCTTCACCACCACTCCCCAGGCTCCCCACCACCACTACCAAGAGCACCTGTCTGCAGACAACTCCTTGAGAACCACAAGCTTGAAATGTTTATTGCTCACAGGACCCTTTACAAGCAAGAGGAAACTGTAGGCTTAAAACAATATTCAAAACAAAGTCAGCCAACACTCGAGTCCCCAGGGCTCTTCCTCCTGCCTCCCCTGGTACTGCAAGAAGCTCCTGTGGACTCTGACAGGCTCTGGGGTCTTGTACAAGCATGCTTGGTGCCAGCAGTGACAAGGACTTCTCCTTAACAGCACAAAAATGGAAGAGGGGACAGGCACGCAAGGAGTAGCATGTTCTAGCTTCGCAAAGCCTCAGTCTGACATCGCCTTGATTCTGAGTTGTGATCTGAGCTGACAGGTACCAAGGCAAGGGAGATGTACAGGAGGCTGTGCCAGCTCCCAGCTCCACTATAAGCAAGCCCTCCCTTTGCACTTCCCTCCAACCCCCAGTTCAAGCGAAGGGGTCAGGTCCTCTGAGCTACCCCACTATTCACCTTCATTATGCCCGCACCAATGCTGCTTGCTCCACACACTCCTACTACATGCCAGGGGCCGTGCATTTGGTACTAGCTGGACCACAGCAATGGCAGCCCTGCTGTAACCCTATACTACAGGTGTGGAAACAGAGGCACCAAGGTCACCAGCAATGTGACCCCATGGACCTGTGCTCTGCCATGTTATGCGCAGCCACAGACACACCCTAAGGACAGCACTGTCCCTGCAATTGAAGGTCTTGTCAGTCCACATGGGGAGACTGGCCTTCAAAAGCATGGGTGTTTCTCATGCACCCTGTTTCTCATAACTGGAAATGCAAAGCCCTGGGCCCATGAGTACCCTCTGCTACCTATCATAGGTCCAACACACAGAGAATGCACACATGGATGTTTGTTTCACGGGCGTGATAGAAAGAGACCCTCTGCAACATAGGAAGTCACCAGTAGAGTCTGGCAAGGATAAGGGACACAGAATCTATATGATCTCTTCATTTTTGCTTTTG